AAACTACTTTACCTCAGAGTGGATTTTATTAGAAGGATGAATACTGGGCATACTCTCGTTTCCCATTTCTGGGTTTGGTGGTCACCACACACAATATCTTCTTCTGTGCTGTTTGTTTACTTCAGTTCATTTACCAAACAGTTCTGTGTCTCAGGGAATCTTAGCTACTGAGTATAAAAATGTGACTACCTCTCCTGAACTTTTAAACTATGTTTTTAGAAAAAATATTTCACACTAAAGGTTAGACAATGTCTTCAGTCATTTCAAAGAAGAGTGCAATGTGTCAGCAGTGCTCAAGGTTAAGTCTGGCACAGTTGGTGTTAATCCACCAACAGAAGATGTAAGAAAAAATATCCTCAAGGGAGAAAAGGAACCAAGAGCGTTATTACCTCCAAGGAAAATTCCTCTGTCAGTTAGGAAGATTTAATATGTTGGCAATTGGGAAAAGCTAATCATCTTGCCAGCTGAACTGAAACTATCCCTGATGCTCGCAGGTTTTTTCTAAAGCCATCTCTGGAAATACTTACTAGGGAAAACAAAGTGTGTGAAGTGGTTGTCCACTGAAGGCATGGAGGGTGAGAATTCAAGAAGCCTGAACGTCTTGGTAAGGCCAGGAGGAGTCTTTCTGAAAAGTATCACTGCATCTTATTATTCCTAGCTGGTAATGGTTACCGAGATTGAGGACTTGCCTCTTATTATCTTTGATAGACAAATAAAGGTTCACAAACAAGGTCACTGCAACTTCTGTGATAAACCATATGCTTGGCTAATTGCTGCAGTAGCCATTAAAACACCATAAGAAGTGTCATGTACACCTTCCAGTTATTGTTGTTAGTCGCAAAGTCGCATCCGATCCATCGCGACCCCATGAACAACATTTCTCCAGGCCTTCCTGTCCTCCACCATCCCCCAGAGTCCACTGAGGCTCACACCAACTGCTTCAGTGACTCCATCTAACCACCTCATCCTCTGCCGTCCCCTTCTTCTTTTGCCCTCTATTGTTCCCAGCATTAGGCTCTTCTCCAGGGAGTCCTTCCTTCTCATTAGGTGGCCAAAATATCTGAGTTTCATCTTCAGTATCTGGCCTTCTAAAGAGCAGCCAGGGTTGATCTCTTCTAGGACTGACCGGTTTGATCGCCTTGCTGTCCAAGGGACTCTCAGGAGTCTCCGCCAGCACCACAATTCAAAGGCCTCAATCCTTTGGCTCTAAGCCTTCCTTATGGTCCAACTTTCACAGCCATACTTTGCAAATGGGAAAACCATAGTCTTGACTATATGCACTTTTGTCAGCAGGGTGATGTCTCCGCTTTTTAGTATGCTGTCTAGATTTGCCATAGCTTTCCTCCCAAGGCGCAAGCATCTTTAAATTTCTTGGCTGCAGTCCCTGTCTGTGGAGATCTTGGATCCCAGACCTTCCAGCAAAACTGGGACCAGGACCAGGTGGCTACAGTCACATTGTTACAGTGCTGCTCTCTTCTCCATGCATTTACTCTGTGTGTAGCTGGAAAGTATGTGAACAGCTAAAATGGTCCTACAATGTTCATTACTTCATAGACTCCTGACAATCCACTTAAATTCCCTGAATATTGCACATATATTTCAACTGGGGAAAAAACCCTTTGAGTTTCACTCTCCATGATCACTCAAGCTCCAAAGTGCTGGGAAATTAGAGCAGTTAAGAGACATTTACTTAGCAGACTTATTATCCAGGTGATCTGGATATGGTGTGATATCCTTTGCTGTTGAAGAACTCAATGAAACAGGGCTTAACTTTGCAGAAGCCGTGCTTAATCTTTAGCAGGGCTTGTACCTCTATATGCTTATCAAGTCCAGTTTTCACAATGCATTCAACCAATTTACCCAGACAGACACTAAGCCAACTGTTCAAGATTTTCCTCCCCATCTGCTGGGTCCCTTTCTAAATATTGAAGAATTCTCCATTCTTCTGGTACTAAGGCTGATCTTAGGGGCATGTTACAAATTTTTGTGAGAAAGTCAGCAGATTCATGGTTGAGTTCTTTAAGCACTGTAGGATGAAAACCATCTGGACCCCACAATTTATTTATTTTCAGTTCATCAAAAATGTTGAGAATTTCATCTTTGTTATCACTGCCCTAATTCCTCTAACTCTCTTCCTGAATACCTAAGTTTAGGAACATAGATCTGTCCTGGATCCTTTGTTTTGAAGGCAAATGAAATTCATTCAGATTGACCTCAATCACCTTATCTTCAGTATTCCTTATATTCTATTTCATCCAATGGTGCAACCACCTCTGCAGTTGGTTTTTTGCTTCAAATATACTTAAAGAATTTTTTTACTGTTGGCCCTGATAAGCTTCTCAAAATGCTCCCTCCACTTTTCTTTTCTTTTCTTTTCTTTTATTATTTTATTTTATTTTAATCTCTTATCTCTTGTCTATATGCTTCCCCTTTGTGCAAGCTTGAGATTTTTTCAGTTATCCTCATTTGGGGAAAAAAATCCTATTTCTGAAAGCAGCCTTCTCCTTAACAGCTCCTCACTGCAGTGAACTGCTGGATTTCATAATTTGTGGCATGTGTGCTATACAAACTTCCTGTGTTGTGGTTTTGAGTAATGTCCAAGCATTTTGAATGAATTTAACCCTCTTGATTCCTCCTTTAATTTACATTTACCAGTTTCCTCATTTTAGGGTTAGGGCTTACTTTTTGAGGTCAAATTGCTCTGATTCTGCAATTTCCAGAAGAAAGCAAACAGTACTGAGACTTTGCATAAAATGTTACTGTGTATTTTATTTCACTAAACATACTGTACATTTGCAGAATATTGAAAAATCTCTATATAAATATCACTTTTAAAAACCTTTGAAATTACTGCAGTTTTAGAAAAAGTGATAGAAAGTACTCACCCACAAACACACACCAGTTGCTTCTATAAATGGCGCTTCACAAGTAACTAAATATTCAATGTATCTTATGTTTATTAGATTTGGAGGCTTGTAACACTTGCCTTTTGTAAACATGTATGTGCATTTGTAAAAGTCCTCAGATGTCTTTTATAAGCCAAATAATGGACAGATGTCCAGGCATTTCCAAATGGTACCACAACGAGAAGAAAGTTCTTGTTTGGAACTGTAACACACTGCAGCATTTTGTTGTGGGTCCTGACAAACACAATTGGGTGTTCCAATATCTATCAGTCTGGCTACGATATAGTGATATCCCCGGACATGTTGAGTTTTTTCCATACTTAGAAAACTGCCCACATCTGCAGTAATATGATAGTTTATAAATAGAAAGGAACAAGAACAACACATGAAAGGGCAAAGGAGCCTGCTTGATGATCTCCTAAAGACATGGTGTGACAGCTGACTTTTGCTTTTTGCTTTCAGGGAAAAAATGAAATGAGAGGAGAGTCCATGTTTTACCTTCTAAGCTAGGTTTCAGCATCTTATGGCCCTCCAGATGTTTTGGCCTGCTCCTCACATCAGTCTTTGATGTCTTTGAAATGCTGTAAACTGAATTACACACCAGAGAGCCATGAGTTGCCCACCCCATTCTAAGAGCATATGACATTCTGGAGGGGGAATTAGGACAGAGGCATGCATGATGCACTTGAAGAATTTTTTTAAGAATCACTTTTCAAATATTCATTAAGTTTTCAGGAGCATCACAATCCTCTCCTTCTGTGTTGTTAGAAATCCTAGTGTCCACCTGATCATGAACACAGGGCAGTGGCAGAATGCTTCAGGGAAATGAGATGGGGGAAGCATTATTTTTCTTTCACTTCACCCTTCAGCTCAGATGCACAATTGGAAGCTGTGAACTGGCTGCAGTCCTGAAGAGGACTGCTCTTTTAAGAGCAAATGGGGATATGCTACCACCTTGTCTTGTGAGTTTCCACTTGTTCTAAGGATTGCAGAGAAATTTGTTCAGCTTGTAAGATAATTCTTACCTCAAAAATAAATATATTAAAAAACTTTTATATTTGCACTGTTTTGAATTTGTGATTCGGTTTTGTAACTAAAATGCATCCAGAACTTTTGTGTATTAGGCACAATTGTATGCAAAAGAAGGGGAATTTTGCAAAAGAAAATACTTTTGTGGTGACATTTTCAAAAAATATACAGAATGCTGGAGAAATGGGACAAAATTTCAGACTGATATGTGTATGAGACAAATTGAACGTAAGGCTAAAACAACATGAGAAAAGAAACACAACTAAAACATCCATCCCTAATTATAAAATCATAAACACTAAAAGTGATTGGCATTTCAATTTTCAAAGAATGGTTCCCTTCCCAAAGGAGTATTAGAAGGTAATCCTATACATGTCCTTTACTTAGCCCTGAAGGACTAATGAAATGGTTTCTAAATGTAATAAATAAATAAATGTCTATACAGAAGTAAAGTTCAGTAGAAGTTCAATAGAGTTTATTCTGGAGTTGAGTTCAGTAGAAATTATTCTGGAATGTGGGCATACGATTATGGTGTTAAATATTTATCAGTGACTAGGAGCCATCTAGTTCTGGTCTGGGTCCCTTCTGCAAGATCTTTTTTATCTAGAGTTCTGTTCCATTTCTAAAATAATCTACTTTTTGAAAAATCAGCACATAAGACTAAATTTGCATTTCAATATGAAGTCAGTATTTTCTTTCAAACTAAGTTTTTAATACATATCCTCATCTGTTGTAACTGCTGAGAACCGTATGGCAACACTCAAAGGCGTGAGGTCCAGTTGATAGCTAATTTCTGATCTGCTTCTTGGGAAGAGAGGTAAAAATTGAGACCAATGTCCAAAGCTGATTATGTCATGTCAGCACACCAGCAAGTTTCACTGACCTATTCTGCTCTGGAAATGTGTGTTTCAGCTCATGCCTGGTTGATTTAGTTGGGTCTCCTAGATCCATAGGCAGCATTGGAGACTGCCAAGGTCATTTCATTTAGGAATTCACAAAGGTTAGATTCCTCAGTCTATGACAAAACCTTTTTCAGCTCTTCATGGCCTTCAAAACATCATGAGGCTATGAAACTCGGTTGCTGAACTTTCGGACAGTTCTGGAAAGAGCCTCCTTTACCTCTCGGTTTCTCAAACTGTATATCAGGGGATTGAGTGTGGGAGTCAAGACAGTATAGAACAGAGAGAACAGTTTGTGAAGTTCCTTCAGTTTTTCAGTTTCAGGGACTATGTAGACAAGGAATATTGACCCATAGAAAAAGGTCACAACAATGAGGTGAGAGGAGCAGGTGGAGAAGGCCTTTTTTTGTGCAGTCTTGGATTTAATTTGCAAGACAGTGAATAGGATGCAGACATAGGAGGACAGAGTCAGTAGAAAAGTGGGCCCTGTTCCCATGAGGCCTAGAATAAAAGTTGCGAGTTTCACTAAGTGGGCATTGCTGCAGGACAGGTTGGCCACAGGATACACATCACAAAAGAAATGGTCAATTTCATTAGGTCCACAAAATGTGAGCTCTAACATAAAAGCAGTTATTATAGTGTTGGTTAACAGGCCACACATCCAAGATGCGCATGCCAGTTGGAGGCAGAGTCTACCATTCATAAGGGATGTATAGTGCAATGGTTTACGTATAGCCAAATACCGATCATATGACATCATTGCTAACAGGTAGCATTCAGTAGCTGCACAGAAAGCAAAGAAATAGTATTGTGTGATACACCCCTTAACAGATATAGATCTATCTGCAGTGAGGAAACTAGCCAGCATTCTGGGAAGGATGGTTGAAATGTAGCAGGTCTCCAAGCAGGACAAGTTCAGAAGGAAGAAATACATTGGGGTATGAAGATGTAGGTCCACCACAACTAGGACAACAATGATGAGGTTCCCGACAATTGACAATGCATAAATGGTTAGAAACAACATGAAGAAGAGAATTCTCAGTTCAAAGGCATTGCCAAATCCCAAAAGAATGAATGATGTTGTGCTTGAATGATTTCCCCCCATTCGTGATTGCTCATGAATATGAAGGTCATCCTGAAATAAAATTTGAAGGGCATTAGTAAGCTAGATGATTCCAGTTGTCCCCAGTCGCCACCCTTTCCCTTCCATTGATGCTTGAAGTAAATACTGGTATGGGGGAGGGGGTTCTGTTCTAAAATTTAAAATATGGTAACGCATGGAAGCACATTATCCCCCACTCATATCAAGTAGTAAATCAGATGGAACCATATTGGAAGACCAGTATGGTTTCATCTGCATTGCTCGTTAATATAAGTGGGGATCATATGTTTGAACGCTCTGCCACATTTTAATTCCTCCTTCAAAACACATAAAGAGGTATTACATCAAGGACAGGGATCTCTTTATTCTGAAGAGTTTTTTTATCTAAAAAATATGCATGTACACACACATGAAAAATATATGTTACCATAAGATAAATTCTAGCCAATGACCTGGTTGGTTGGGTCAAGACAGAACTACATTTTCCCCTTTCTTTATCTGTATGGATCTAGAGTATTGCTTGAAGAAATATGCAGCAGTTTTGATTTGAAGAATCTGACCTTTATGTTCTGTAATAGATTGGCTTTTTTCTGAGTCATTCAGATGCCACAGATATGAGAACAAATTTTCACACTTTTGGGGCAGTGTGGTGCATTAATTTGCATCAGCAGTGATACAAATCAGTACTAACATGATTTAGTGCAAGTAAAATGAACTTTGGGGAGGGGGGAATCTGATTTCTTCAATGAGAGGATAATGGAATATAGCTGCCTGAGAATCCACAAAGGACAGACGGAATAGATTTAGCAAAATCCATATATGCCTCCCTATTCCTTACAAATTGTTCTGGGAAGAGATGCTTTGCAAAAGTGCAGCAATTGGGAAAGATCACACTTAGCCCTTCTGCAGCCACCACTTATCCCTTGTCACTGCAACCAGCCCCGCCTCCACCACCCCCTGCCATTACAAGTCTGTGTTATTCCCACCAGAGATGGCGATAGAAACGGCCATGTCTGGATTCTGCACCAAATCAGATTAGTTCTTGGCAGGGCAGAATGTGGTTGAATCCTACATGTTTTGCACATTTTTGCCTGGAGGAAAACGGAAACCACTAAAATGCTGATAGATCATTCCTCAGTCACTAGCACCATTCCATGCACACACACTGGAGGAAAATGTGCAATGTTGCACCATTGTGGAATTCATAGCACCATGGCACAATTTCACACAAACACATAATCTAGGACGGCAAGATAAATAATGAGACCATAAGCAAAGTCATGCTAGATCAGGCTAAGGGTGCATCTAGGTCAGCATTCTGTGCATGCAGGAGACAACCAGCAGCTCAAGCAACATCCACCAGCAGGACAAGGGCAACAGCACCCTCTTACCCATGTTTCCCAGCAGCTAGTGTACATAGGCACACTGCCTCTGATGCTAGAAGTAGCAAAGAGTCATCAGGGCTAGTTGCCACTGACATCCCCTCACTGCAAATTTGCCTAAGCCCTTTTCAAAGCCACCCAGAGTGAATTTGGATCCATCCCCTTATATGAGGTAGTAGAATTCTGAGAAAGGGATGTACCTCTTCAAAAGTGTTGGTGTAAGTAGCACTTTGAATGCCTTCCAGTCTCTCCCTCTCTCTCCACAGGTAAACATCTAGCACATGCCCTTTACCTGCTCTGCTACTTTTCTTCTTTACAGGATTTTAATTTTTATGCCGGGTGGCATTTAAAAAATCTGATTCTTGCACCTACAGAATGAAGTGGCTTAATCTGTTTCACCACCTGAGCAACAGCTGCCTCTGTATCTCATGCCATCTAGTCAGGTAGGAAAGGGTGCCCAGGTTATTCTTGTGATGTCCCTGGGGAATCCCACTCTTTTCTGTTCATCCAATTTTAATGGGGGACCCCATGAATGTTTACACAGAAAAAAAAGGCCTACAACTCTCAGCATGACCAGCCAGGAAATTTCTTTTTCTGTCTAAATTTACATAGGATTGTGTCTGGTAGGCTGTGATTTTCCAAAATGAACTTCAAAAGTGTTAAATATTGGTAGCTACAAACCAAACAGAGCCTGAATATTTGGACTCAAATTTCAGCACTAGCATCTACATACTGTACCAAACTTTAAAAGCATTTTTTCACCCTAAACTAGTCTAAGTTTTAATACTAAATTTAAAGTACTTGGATTCAAACCATACAGCTTCTATGACCTAAAGAATTGTAAATCCAAATCTGGGTGATAGGTCTGTAGTATGCGATGTCTTCTTCACATTACAGTTTTCTGAATTCACTGCAAGTTTTCCTAGGTCCATGGGACCTTTATGAAATCAAAAATATTGATCGGTTGGTACACTTATTTTTAGTCCAAGCTCCTAGCCCCAGATAGGTATTTCATGCTATCCAAAATATTTGGGCCTGATACTCTAATGATTATGACAATAATTGGTCAAGGAAAATATATAATTTCATTTGTTGTATGCATACCTACAAAATCTAATATTTTTCTCATAAACCTTAGATTCACCCACAAAAGAAAAGAAAGACAGATTTTAGAAATGTCATTATTTTCTGTCAATCCAAACATAGCTTGGTCTGGTCAGATTTACCAAGTATGTACTTGATTTTCCACTACCACAATGTACAAAAGAAGTGGCACTAGGTATCCATATGTGCCACTAACAACCCTCGTGTAATATCCTGTCCCAAATCCCTCACATGAGGACAAATGCCTTATAATATAGAAACATAAATATATCTTTACCTTTGAAATGATTGTATCCCTAGGTGGAATCTTAGATATGTTCCAGTCATCTTCCATCCCTAGGAAATCAGTTTCTCTTCTGTGTCCCAAAACGTAGTCAGTGGTGTTTCTATTTTCTTGCTCGGTCATGCTTTAATTCAGTAACAAAATATCAAGTGCACTTAAGTAATTAATTCAACTTAATTAAGTACAAGCTATTTCTATAGACCGATGTTTGCAATGACTGGAAAAAGAATGTAGCAGTTTGACGTGCTATCTTAGTAACAGCACTACTGATAAAATCCTTTTTCTCTCTGTTGGAGGTATAGATGTAGTGGGGAGGGGGGAGAGAAAAGAAGAAAAAAATCAGAGACCTTCTCTTGGGCTCTCCCGGCAGGTGTTGCATTTTTGAGATCTTGATAACAATGGGTTCGTCATTTCAAAGAGATTGTAACAATATTATAGTCCAATTGGCTCAAAAGATTCTCCTATTGAGAACCTTGTAGCTTATAGGTAGCATCCTTCAAAGCAATGCTAAATCATGTGCCTTTAATTAAAATCACAGAATTCCAAAATTACATTTAAAATTCCACAATTCTAAATATTTGAGACATCTGCCCTTCATGGGATTCAAAATATTGACTGTGAAGCTTAAGGTTTGATGAAACAGTTGTTTCAGATGGCTGTTTAGACGCATCATAATGCCCCTGCTTTCAGTACCATCCCAAGTGCTGTCAGCTTTGTCAACTGCATATGTTTCTAATCTCAAGTTATCCAGCCATAACCTATTTATAACTTACAATACCTCAGTCTGCAAAAAAATCCTTTTTATGCTTTAGAGACACAGTGAATTTATTTCCTACAAATGCAATTAAGAGCAAATGCTTTCAGAGTTAAAATCTAGTCTCCTAACAAATTAATTATGTGCTACAATGTTGGAAAGGAAGATGCCAAGAATTCTGGGAATTATGCCAAGCATCTCAGACTATTTTTAATACTGCAGGCTCTGCACAGTGGAAGATTAACAACATAACAAGCAGGAGAAACTTTCTCAGAAAGAAATGGTAACTTATGCCCAGGTGAATTCACTATAGTCCCCAGAACTAATTTTAATCATTAGTGCCTTAACACAAATCAGAGTCCTTGAAAGTCAGAACTAAAATTGCCAATTTATGTCTGTTTGAGTACTTAAACCCTGGCGGGGTTTAAATATAAAAGTGTTTGAATTATTTTAGGCTTTGCTTGTTCTAAATCAGGGAAAGAACTCTGTACTCTCTTCAGATGTTGTTGAATGACAGCTTCCTTCAGTTCCAGCAGGTGTAGCCAGTGGCCAGGGATGATAGCATCTGTCATCCAACAGCTTCCGATCCACAGCTTCAGCACTCTGGATCTAAAGTGAACAGGACACACCTTTATGAGCCATCAAATCACTCCCTAATCACTTTGCAGCACATGTCTTTGTACTATAGGATTATCCTTGGAAGGGCAACTGGAAAGATGGCCCACTTACTGACAACAGGGGTCAAGCAACAAAGGGAAGTAAAAGGGACGATGGACAACTTCCTGCTTTTCAACTTAAGGGTCAGCACCCCTGTTTTACTTTTATGTAACATGTGCAATCTAAAATGTTACACCTGCATTATGTTGCAGGCTGGTAGCATTATATGTATTGACAAGCAAGTCAGCTTTGCAAGCCTAATCCCAACTGTTGGGAAAATAGAACTGCTTTAGGTGCCAAAGAAAAAAACTCTGCTGGATTTGCATCAGGAAAACCCACCTTTCCTGAAAAACATGGGACTATCTAGAAAGATAATTTGCTACAAAACCCACAGGGTGACATGAAATATTGGCTCCATCGGAAAAGTGCTGAGAATGTTGCAGAGTGAAACAGTCTTTGATTTTATATGCTTTCTTTCATGGATTGAAATGCTTTTCCTAATGCTAAAATGCTGGCAGTACAGTATGCTGAGATTTAGTTTGGATCCTATTTTCCCTTTTTTTAAAATTTGGTCCTGCCCACCACTGGAATTTGTTCTGCACAGCTGCTCTGGCTTTCCTTGGTTGGAAAGAGGTTTGACACCTTTGATTTAGGCAATATGGTCATGGTGTCATTATAATTACATTATCTTGCATTTATTCCCCACCTTTATTCCTCCTGCAAGGAACCCAAATGGCTTACAAGCTTTTCCTCCTTTCCATTTTATTCGCACAGCAACAGTCCTGAGAGATAGGTTAGGCAAAGCATCAGTGACTGGCCCAAA